AATCATGCGCAGAATAGCTTCGGAAATACGACTTATATAGCAAATCGAACATTGTCGAAGAAGTCAATATCTGGAAATCCGACTAATTCGACAAAGAGAACTTCAGTAACCTTCGGTAATCTCCGCGAAAATCCGAGTGATTCGAAAAAATCGAGTATACTTCCAAAGAAGATAATCTTCGGATATTCGGCTAATTCGGCAAATGAAACATCTTTGGCAACCTCTGAGAGATTCGAAGAGTGTCGAACATCTTCGGAAATCCACTATTTCGGCAAGACGAGCTCTGTCGAAGCATGTGCAGAATATCTTCGGAAATCCGAGTAGTTGGGAAAATCGATTTACTGCCAAAAAAGACCATCTTCAGAAATCTGACTAATTCAGTAAAGAGAACATCTCTGGTAACCTTTGGTAACCTCTAGGAAAATCATACTTTTTCGAGCATCTTCGGTAATCCGACTGTCGCTTTTGAGTGGTATACCGCGGAATATCCCACAAGACACTCGTATTTTCTTAGTATACACACTCGCCTTAAGGCTGTGTTTATACCGAAAAATTCAAATGACTTGTGGGATATAACTATTCCATAAGGGATCACTGTTCCGTCGTTTTGTTACTTTCCAGTAGCAAAATTCGTACATTATTCATGTCATCTGGACTGTAGCCCTAAACAATTCAACCCAGGCAAGTAAGCGGTAGGGCTATAGCCCTTCCTCCCCCTCCGCGGTCCCTGACTTCATTTGTGGTTTTGCACATATCTTTCAGTAACCTGAAATGCCAGTCATCTCCCACCCTCAGCTGAATCCCCGGGCGATTAGGCTGAGCGCGGAAGATGACTGACATTTGACGCCATCCTTTCAGCATCTTCGGAGACCCAGGGGCAGTTAGTCGGGACGACGCGATATTTTCGGATGACGCAACATTTTCGGGCGAAAGTTTACCTCTTGATGTAAACTTTCGCTTGAAACTATCGCGTCGACTATGACCTTTCAGCTCCCTTTCAGCTAGCGGGAAAGCTTCTTGAGCCGACTGTACCAGAGGATGAACAGCAGTTTCCTTCTCAAATTCAAGATGGCGGACGGTGAGTAGTGTCTTGCAACGAATGTGTTAAAAATTGCTATTTAAAGTAAAACTAGGCCGAAGTATAAGTCCTCTTATGTTATTTTTTCGAATAAATTCTAGCTTCCTCTATGGAAAAGTGCTGGAAAATGTGCCGTCACTTCCTTCTTGTCTGAAGAGACGGTGATGGACAAAACACTGACTCCCCAGTCCATGGACTACCCAAATGGACTACCCTAAAATGGACTAACCTTGAAAATAATATTTGAAATGAGTACTATTTATAGCTGCTAGCATACTTAAATGACACACAACTTCCGCTTATGTTCATCCTGTACAGCCTCTAGCCACCATTTTGAATAATTGTACTTAAAATAAACAACTGCTGAACAAAAAATTTCAGGTCAGTCAGATCAAACTCTTGAAGAAGTGTTAAAATCTATCAAGCACGCAATTCTAGTTGGTAAAGGAGGAGTTTATGACACAGACAGCATGGACTCTTTACAACAAAGGAAAGAAGGTAAACTGAAATCTTTACGTTTTGTTGACTTACCTTTACTCGCATTAAGTCATTGATTCATACGCAGTGGGAGGGGTTGGGAGGAGGGGGGAGAAGCTTTATCAGACAAGTTTCTATGTTTTGGATTGGTCTTGTTTTCGTGTTTTATGTTTGGGAGAGAGATTTGTTATCAGAATATTTACAGTATTGGCCACATGATATGTGAGCTGGTGACACTTAAGGAAAAATCCTTTCTTGGATTCAAAATGTTCACTTTGCCATCCCCCCAGCACCTTCTATCTTTCCCCACCCTACCCCAGAGTCACCCTGGAGAAAATCTGTGAAGAAGTGTCTTCAAGAATGTATTGTTACAGCAGTACTACCTTGATCACAACAGATGGCTAATCTTTGTGTTTTCTCGTTATCTTCCAAGTTGGCATACTGGATGGTGACTTATGTGGATGAAGTATTCCAAGGATGGTGAATTTAGAGGGAAAAGGTATACACCAGTGTTGTGCTGGGTAAGTAATAACATAAAGGGTCATCTTCAGAAGCCATTCTATGGGCAGCAGGTATATTTTGCAGGTTGCAGGTTGAAATTTAATTATAACTGGAAAACCACTGGCACTAAAAATAATTAATAACCTATATACTCGTCAGGGGTTCTTACATAAAGTAGTTCACCTCTTTCAATTAGTGAAAACACGATCGATCCGCTATAAGTACTTATCGATCGACACGCAGAGACCAGTGAAATCTCTTCAAAGCCATCTGGATGGCCACTCCACAGATGTTTCCATTGATTCCAGATTTGGCTTGGGTCTTCCCTCAACAACAGAAGATTGCTATCACAAATGAAGCAAATAAATAAAGAAATGAAATAGTATAAGATTTTAACCAACGGAATATACTAGCACAAGCTCAGTGTGCTTTCATTTTGGTACTCACAGGGAA